TTCCCTGTGCAATCACCCCGTTCTTCACAGCCATCTATTCATTTCTCCTGGAGGCGAGAGCTGGAGTCGGGGGACCCTTACTCAACACCTAGGAGGTTCATTCACCAGGGCCGCCCCCTACAATCCACCAGCTGCTTGGAGCACCCATATAACACTTGTTTCCAGAGACCCAGCGACTGTTGTCCAGCAGTTTTCAGAGACCCAGCTACAATTGTCCAGCAGTTTCTAGCAACCCAGCTACAGTTGTTTGGCAGTTTCCAGAGATCCAGCTACTATTGCCCAGCAGTTTTCAGAGACCCAGCTACAGTTGGTGGGCTGTTTCCAGAGACCCAGCTACAGTCCTACAGTCACCCAGCTCATTCCAGCCATGCCCTGTGAATCCCCACCTTCCCCCCAGAGACTGTTGGAACCATCTTCTTAGCCGACTCTAAAGACTTTCCACTTGTTGGCCTTGAACCTGGGCCATATTTATGCAGCGAATCTCGGATGCCTCATTGTCTCTGAATCCTGCTTCACCTCGTGCATCAATAAATGTTTTCACACAACCAACTATGGCAGCCCTGCACGAGGAGCTGGGGTACATGGTCCCCGGTCCCCAGTCTCTGCCTCCACAGATGCTCAATACTTAGTAAGGGGAAAAAGATAGAAAAAATAAAGGCATCGATGATTTCTGATCTGAGTGACGTTCTTAGTCATGAGTGCACAGACATCTAAGGGGTCGCTTGGTTGGGTGAGGGTGCAGAGCGTACACCCTCACCCACACCCCCACCCACACCACGTGCACACATATGCCTGTAAAGGCACAAATGCACATGCACATACACACACACACATGCACACACTAGTACAAATGCATATACATGCATACACCCACACCCCATGCACACACATGCCTGTGAAGGCACAAATGCACATGCACACACTGGTACAAACCCATATACATGCCTACACCCACATCCTGGACACATGTGTGGGCTGGGCACAGGTTTGGCGAGGCCATGGTGGCACAGGAGGGTCCCTCGGGCTGTCAGTCCCCTCTGAGGGACACGGCCCGTTCCCACTTCCCACGCCCACCCCAGGCTCATCCCCACTGGACACCATGCATTCTCCAAACTAATTGTTCCTACCCAGCTCTCCAGCGTGTCCTTGATCTGACCTTCCTCCCCTCCCCTAGCTCATGCCCTTCAAGACTGGGATTGGGTGCTGTTTTGCCCAGTAAGTTTGCATTGACTCCTCCCCTAAAGTGAGAGGATTCGTTTCCTGTGGCTGCTGTAACAAATGACCACACACTTCATGGCTTCAAACAAGACAGTGTATTATCTTATAGGTCAGGACGCCAGAAGCCTGAAGTCAGTTTCATTGGCTAAGATCAAGGTGCTGGCAGGGCTGCACTCCCTCAGGGGGTGGGGGAGCAGTAAAGGAGAATCCGTCTCGTTATCTTGGGCAGCTTCGTGGGGCCGCCTGCCCTCCTTGGCTTGCAGCCCCTTCCTCCATCGTCAGGGAGCACGGCAGCTTCTTCAAATCCCGCTCTCTGACCGGGGGCGTCTCCTTCCCTCAGTCTCTGACCCTCCTGCCTCCCTCTGAGCAGGGCCCCTGGGATGACATGGGTCCACCTGGACCCCTGGCTCCTCTTCCGATCTCCAGATACCAGATAGTTCCAAGGAATAGGACGCGGGCATCGCTGGGGGGCTCTTATTCTGTCCTCAGCACCGAGTCTGTCCGTGGGCTTCCTCTGGGCCCCAGGTGGGCTCTCCCCTTCGCTGCTGGAACTGACGTCCTGGGTGACCTTGGACGCCACACCTTGAAGGTGGCCCTGGCTCCCAGCCTGACTGCGCGGAGCAGAGCCTGCTGTGCCTCCATGTACTGGCCACGTGTCAGGGTCTGTAGACCTGACGCTTTCACATCCGTCCCACAGGAGCCCGCCGGGCACACCTTGTCCTCGGTGACCCTGTAGATGCCTGCGTCCCCTGGCATTGGCCTCCTGCCTCCCTCACGGCTGCCCCAACCTCTGAGCAAGAGTCCTCTTCCTGCCCTGGTTGGTGTGGCTCAGTGGATAGAGCGTCGGTCTGCAAACCAAAGGGTCTTGGGTTCGATTCTGGTCAAGGGCACAAACCTCGGTGGCAGGCTCCTCTCTGACCTGGGCCCTGGTCAGGGCTCTAGCGGGAGGCAACCAGTCCATGTGTTTCTCCCACATCGATGTTTCTATCTTTCTTTCTCTCTCCCACTCACTCTAAAAATCAATGGAAAAATATCCGTGGGTGAGGATTAAAAATATATATAGGAATCCTCTTGCTGGGGTCACCCTTCAGATACAAACCAGCCATCCTGAGCCCACACCCCACCACCCCTTTTGTGGGGCTTTCTCTCTCTGGGCCACGATCCCCCTGCCCTAATCATCCCCAGACCAGGGGCCAGGCAGCTCGCACCATCCCCTCCACCCCGGGGCCCACTGCAAGCATTAAAGCAGCCATTGCTCAGCTGCTCACCCTGTCTCCCCAATTCCTCCCAGTGGAAACCAGATCAAAGGCCCTTGCCTGGGATCCCCCCACCCCCCACCCCTCTCCTCTGACCAGCCTGGGGCTCTTTGGGGGCCCCTCCCCCGGGCACTGTGAGTGACAGTCTGTCTCCAGTGGCCAGCATCTCCTTGCCTGTGGGCCTTGCTACCCCTCACACTTCCTGTTGGTCACAGGATTTAGGCCACGCCTCCTGGGGAGCTGAGTGACGCTCACCTGTTGACATGGGTGGGAAATTGCCTTCCATCCAGGTGAGTCCTCACACCTCAGGGCCTGTTGGCTGTAAGGGTCACACTCCCCTGATCACACACATTCTGACAGCTGGTCTTTGCCCAGGGCAGGGGCGTGGCCCCCGTGGTGGCTGTTGCCCCAGAGGCACCCCCCCACACACACACTTGTGCTGTGCACCCTGTTTTCCTGAACCTGCTCTTCCTCTTCTGTCCCTCCCCACGTGGGGCAGAGCCCCCCAGTTTTCTCAAATGCCACAGTGACCCCCACGCCTCCCTGACCCCGGGTCACTGACCACGGGGGCAGATCTCAGGAATCAGTTATCTGAACACATCCATCCTCGTTCCTGGGTCCCCTTGTTCTTTCTTTCTTTTCTTTAAATTCTTTATTGTTGAAAGTTTTACATATGTCTCCTTTTTCCCCCATAGATCTCTCCCCACCTCATTATTTCTATCCTCACCCCAGGATAATTTTTCCATTGAGTTTTAGAAAGAGTGGAAGGGAGGAAGCGAGAGAGAAACATGGATGTGAGACACATGGATTGGTTGCCTCACACACACACCCCAACCGGGTTGGGGATCGAACCTGCAACCCAGGTACGTGCCCTTGAATCGAACCCGAGAGCCTTTGATGCGCGGGATCGCTCTAACCACTGAGAAACACCGGCCAGGCCCCTCTGTTATTCCAATGTCTGTTCAGGACTGCCCACCCGGCTGCTCAGCAAGGTTGCTGATGGCCGCTGGGCTTGCAAAGGTCGCTGCCCAGGGCTGTCTCCACAAAGAAACATTTGGGGTCTGAGGCACCCCGACCCCAGAGCGGGACCCCTCGCCATGAGCTGGGAGACAGAGCCCCTGTGGGGGGACGGGTCCAAATTCCTGCCACTTGTGGGGTCAGACCTGCTGCCCCATCAGGTTAAAATGAGATGTTACCCTGAGGACCGCTAGGGGGCGCCCGCGTCTCGTTCGGATTAATTTTGCGGGTTTTTGTGGTTGCTGTTTTAATAGAAAAGATAAGATGCTTGCGTGGCTGTTGCAGGCATTAAAAATGTTATTCTCCATTAAAATAATATTTTTTAAAAGTTCAACAAAGATTCAGCCAGCGTTTACAATGGTGTAACTTCTATTTTCGTTCTGTCAAATGTTTACACATTGAATCCTGGGCCAAACCCTCTAAGGCAGCGGTTCTCAACCTGTGGGTTGCGCCCCCTTTGGGGGTCAAACGACCCTTTCACAGGGGTCGCCTAAGACCGTCGGAAAACACATATATAATTCCATATTGTTTTTGTGATGAATCACTATGCTTTAATGATGTTCAATTTGTAACAATGAAAATACATCCTGCATAGCAGGTATTTACGTGATGATTCATAACATGAGCAAAATTACAGTGATGAAGTAGCAACGAAAATAACTTTATGGTTGGGGGTCACCACAACATGAGGAACTGTATTAAAGGGTCGCGGATTAGGAAGGTTGAGAACCACTGCTCTAAGGTATGTTCTAGTCCTTTCTCCGTTTTTCTTGGAAAAACTGGGGAGCGAAACATTCCCTAAGCTGCCAAAGGTCGACGAGCTCTACGTGGCCGGGGACGCAGACCCGCGTGGGGGGCCTGAATCACTGTTCTGAGTCACAGGCCATGCACCCCAGAGAGGCTCGGTCCCCAGTCTTCCTACTTAACTATATTTTATTTTTTAAAATATATTTATATTGATATCAGAGAGGAAAGGAGAGGGAGGGAGAGATAGAAACATCAATGATGAGAGAGAATCATTGACCAGCTGCCTCCTGCACGCTCAAAATTCAGGGATTGAGCCCCCAATCCTGGCATATGCCTTGTCCAGTATTCGAACCCGGGACCCTTCAGTCAGCAGGCCGATGCTCTGTCCACTGAGCCGAACCAGCTGGTGCCTAACCTATAGTTTTCATCTTTGTTTTCTTGGGCTACATCCTGTACTGAATTTCTGAATCAATCTCTCTCTCTCTTCCTCTCTCTCTCTCTCTCTCTCTCTCTCTCTCTCTCTCTCTCTCTCCCTCCCTCTCCCTCTCTCTCCATCTCTTTGTTACTTTCCCTACTTTCCCCTATTAGTGCATTAGTCCGGGTCCTCCAGGTAAACAGAACCCATAGGTTCTGAGCTCTCAGCACAGAGGGATAAGGAGGGGGTTTGGCACAGGAATAGCTCACCCGCTATGGAAGCTGGACGTCCCCATCCGCCTTCTGCACGGAGACCCAGGGGAGCCGGTGGCACAGTCCAGCCCAAGTCCAAGGCCCGGAACCGGAGGGCCGCGGGGGTGAGAGAACTAGGAGCCCCGATGTCCGATGTCCGAGGGCCGGAGAGACCGGCAGGGGAGACCGGCAGGCGCCCCAGCTCCGGGGAGACTGAGCCCTTCCTTCCCCTTCTGGTTCTGAGGTTGGGTGGTGCCGCCCACAGCGGGAGGGCGGGTCACACAGTCCGCTGATTGACAGCTCCTCCCCTTCAGTGACCCCGCCCTCCCCCTGAGCAGGGACAGCTGAGCAGGCCCAGGGCTGCCCCTGTGAGTCCAGGCAGGGCAGCCCCCATGGATGAGAGACACCCTTTGGGGGAAATGACAAGTAAAACAAGCCCGGCCGGGGTGGCTCAGTGGTGCAGCATCGACCTAGGAACCAGGAGGTCAGGGTTCGATTCTGGTCAAGGGCACATACCTGGGTTGCAGGCTGCATCCCCGGTGTGGGGCGTGCAGGAGGCAGAGGATCCATGATTCTCTCTCATCAATGATGTTTCTATCTTTTCCTCCCTGTCCCTTCAATAAATGTATATACAAAAAATATAAATATATAAAATATATATAAATAAACAAAACAAAAACCTTTCCATCTCAGGGGTTATTGGAAGAGGAGGGGGCTCAGGGCAAGGTCAGAAGAGCAGAAATCAAGGCTAGTCCCTCCTCCTCCTCTTCCTCTTCCTTCATCTTCTTCTTCTTCATTTTTTATTTTTTTAATTAATCCTCACCTGAGGATATTTTTCCCATTGATTTTTAGAGGACTGGAAGGGAGGGACGGAGAGAGACAAAAACACAGAATATGATGATGAAAAATACATTTATTTTTAATGTATACATGTACACTGATAGTCCGACAGAAAACTTTATGACTGTTTGCTATTATCAGTGGGACTTTTGCTGCTGCATCACTGATGACAGAGATTTTACATCAGGTTTATATTTCGTGACCTTCAGAGATATGCACGAGCTACTACTTTCATCCGTCAGGCTACTCCTATTATGAGACTTAACAGAATTCACTGAGAACAAAGATTCACAAATGTATGTGGATGAAACCAAGACACTGGTCGGATCTAGGAAGGCAGGGAGAGTTAAGGCAGAGGCATAGAAATTGCTCTTCCCCTCTCTCCTCAATCCATGTCTATGGTCTTTAAGATAACTTGCTATGTAAAATTATTTATTTATCTAAGATGCACCTACACTGAATTTATCTGAAAAATAAAAAAGTCGATATTAAGAAAAAAATTGTAAATGGAAGATTATAAGAGAGGGTTTTGCGTGCCAGAGAAAGTTACTGGCGTGCCATGTTTGGCACATGTGCCAGGGGTTGCCCACCCCTGATCTAGATATCTATCTATATCTATATCTATATCTATATCTATATCTATATCTAGATCTAGATCTATATCTATCTATCTATCTGTCGCTGATGAATTAATACCATGTGGATTTCATCTGGTCAGAGGTTGAGCCTGGTGAGGACGTATATCGCTAGAAATTGGTGCGTGAACAAATTAGAAATTTAATTTTTCATAGAGTTTCACCAAGGCCTCTCTGGACCCAAAAAAGGGGAAACTAGATGTGGCATTAGGAGCACCCGCCTCCCTTCATGAGAAACCACGGAAATGAGGCACATGACTCGGCCCCTGTGAGCCCGTCCTGCACCTTCACTGTCCGCCCTCACCCAGACAGACTCACCTCCTCCAGGTGGACAAGGACAGAGAAGACTGGGAGAGGCTGGCCATGAGCCCCCGGCCCTCCACCCTCCTGGGCCTCGGTGAGTCCTGGATGGAGGGACCGCATCCC